CAATGCTTGTAATTTGATTTTAAGCTGTTCTTCTCTCTCCACACTGCCTTTGTAGTATTCCATSGTTTTCTCTGCTTCCTCGACTCTCTTCATCAAAGCTTTCATTTCGTTATGGATTAAATAGCTCACTCCACAGAACTGACACACTGTGTCATCGCGGTTCATAGTCTGTATCTCCTGTGGGAGAGGATGCTCAGGAACGTAGTGATCTCCGGCCATGTTTAATAAAAGTTAACTTAAAACTCTAATCACTTGTCCGCCATTTTGTTGCTTTCGCTGTTTCCATGGTATCGCAAATGTTGTAGATTTGAGTTCTTCAGCGTCATCTTGACACCATCAGATCTATCAGACACAAGTAAATAATTCTATTATGCCATTCTGAAAATAGAGACGCGAATTCTCGCAAATTTAAGTCGTTTTTCAACAAAATGTGAGTATTTACTTTTTAACGTTACAACGACGATACTTGTGCTCAGCGGAATGACATCTARAACACAGGAGCCCCAAGAGTAAAATTCATAAACAAAATTGTCTCACACGTTTTCCATATTTTCAAAATATATAAAAAGAATAATTTTTAGTATTAATTTCTGTTTTCTGCGATTTTGTAAAGAAATTTTCGTGATTTAATCTTTTTTTCCCCTGAATAAATAAATGAATATATTGGGCACCCTGTTTAATCGAAGTCTGTAGTAGCCTGGATCTACTTGTTTTGGCGCGCAAGTGGCGGGGTYGACGGTGTTACGTCTTTCATGATAAATTTATGTTAAATTTTAGAAGTTTTTAATCTAGTATGCCATACAACGAAGCAGCTAGCAATACTGGATCGTTTCTKTTAAGGCGAATTGGTTTGCCTTCCACTTTACCGACGATTGGTAATGTTTTCAGGTACGTACGTCGAAGCTCGTCGAGGACCCAAACGTGTCGGGTTTTCGGGAACCCGCGTTATGACAAACACTACTAACTACGTGTGGGCAAAACCGCTCTTTTCGACGAATTCTTTGTCGAAATAATCGAAAAATATTCAGTGTTATTTCAAAGGAAAAGGGTGTTGTTGCTGAAATATATTAAAACCTACGTTTAAGCTTACGAGATTTGTTGTAACTCCGTTTGCAACGTTTGTGAGATTGTTTTAAACTGTAAGACTAAGCTTAAACTTTAGTGTTCTGCGAATTAGATAAGCTATATATTTTTTATTCATTCGTTCATGTATTGACTTCTTTAGTATCTCTCCCTTCTCTTTTTATGATGGAGACAGCAGCTAGCTAAGACATCTAGATGATGGCTAGCGCTCCCTCAACGCTACCATCTTTTACTTCTGTTTAGATAATAATCAATCCCAAAATGCATCGCGCCGTAAGTTTTTCTGTCGTAATAGACTAGAGAGTTTTATATTTCTTAATTACTGCAAATGCCAAACGTCAAATTGGCTTTTAGGTTTTGTCTCAAAATTTCAAATAAACATTAAAACGCTTCGAAAGGAATGGTGATGCTTTATACACAAAAAGTGATCTATTTTATACACAATCACGAAAGAAAGGAGCGTTGATACAGAAAAAACTGCTCATGTGATCAGTTTTGACATCTGGCGTTTGCGGTAAACACGTATSTGAAACACTCTAATGAGGACTACGACTGGAATAAAAATAACCAAAGCAAGGAAAATATGACAAAAGGAATGGAAATAATGTTAGATTTTACCCATTTCACCCTACATGTAAGAACAAAGCTATTTTTACAGTGATTATAGTCCACTCATCCCACATTGCATAATGACTCATTTTCCTTGTATATTAATTCCACTTCAGTTTAAACAGTGGTACTACAATCATAGGGAGAAACCCTACTACATCAGACATCTTCCTTGAYTCGGCCGTCCATAAAGCYCTCATATCYCGCCTRCACGCAAGGATAACTACTGACCAAAATGCAAGTAAAGTTACAATATGTGATACAAGCCTAAATGGTACTTACGTCAACGATAAAAAGATTCTCGACACTGAAGAAATCAAAGTTGGTGATACTATAACTTTTGGGCATCTTAAGGGGGCTGTACTAGAACCTGGTGTTGTTGCTAAGCAACACAAATCTGAGTTTATGTTTAAGGTACATGACATATACTGGCTTTTGAGGCATAACATTAATATTTTAGGGACTTTTGRTGTAGATAAGAGATTGAGATGAGATCTGTTGACATAGTCGCTAATAGGCATGTGCAATTTATTAAAAAAGAGCACATTGTGAATAATTATCTATCCCACATTGAAAGCAAGCTTTCTGTTGCATAAGCTGTTGGCTTGCTTCACTAGTTGGAACTATGCTGTAAATCTTTACAACACTAGTGTTTCTAATATATTAGATTGTCAAAATAGACAGCCCTTGTTGGACTAATAGGTCATGAATTATTAATAACTTCTAAATATAGTCTGTACCATCTTTTTGATATACAGTCAACTCTCGCTATTACGGACACCTTAGCCTAGAGACTGTAATTTAGTGTCCGCAGTAGTGAGAGTAAGTAGTAACGAGAGTTACTTTCATTCATYTYKTTGTATTTTTTGCTGGGGATTCAGTATTTTACTGTCCACMATATCGAGGTGTCCGTTATAGCGGAGTGTCCATAAGGCGAGAGTTGACTGTACTGGAATACATTTTTTTTTTTGGTTTTAGCTGGAGAAGTGTGCCCCTCAAATGACACATCATTCAAAAGAAGAACATTCCGTATATCCATGTAATATCAATAACTCAGAAGGTTACATCCAAGAAAGAATTGGCCTCCTGCCTGATTTATCACCATTTTTGAACAGTACAGAGGAAGATTCCTGTGAATCACAAAACATTGAAAAACAACAGTAAGCACATAANACATTTTATGATGTCAAACGAAGGATTGTTCCTCTGGAATTCAAAACATGAGCGTCATTCATATCGCTGATGTGTTTAACATGTCTTTTCGGAGACCGCCGTAAGGTATGTTTGTGCTTTCTCGTAATAAAATGAACTTAGTTTTCTCACAATTGCTCGAAAAATCCGATCTTTTCATAAGGTTTCAGTGTTCTAGTTTTCTTTTTTCGTAATACTACTGAGCTCTATTATGAGTTTTTACTTATTTTCAGGATACGTTTCAAGTTTTTCTCAGATTTCGCCTTTATTTTGCCTTTCAATCAACTCCGACGGAGCTCCTCACAGCTCAAAGGTCAGTGGCAAATGAAACCATTTTTAAATTTTAACCCAGGATCCTTTTCGCGCTGTGTCCAACACCGCCTGGTTTTAAAATGACTTATTTGCCTCCAATATAGAAATAAAACAAACATTGTATTTTTTTAATAGTGAAAATAGCAAGTGAGAAATATACTAGGTATTTCGTAGATAAATATATGATAAAATGAGATTTTAGTCGGGATAGTAGGAAAACATTTTCACTCTGGCTTTTTGATATAACTTTGCCCACCTTTTATACATCTAACTGGGCATAATTGATCCAGTATTTCTGGGAATTGTATTAGTATAGGTAATAGCATGTTTTGTAGTGGTATTTGGGATAAATACCACGCGTGATATTTCAAAATTGTCAAACAAAATTTGTGACAAATTTTGAAATATCACAAGTGGTATTTATCCCAAATTCCACGTACAAAACATGCTGTTATTTGTTTACAAAATGGTTGAATAAAATTGTGCAATTAGTGAAATACCACTATTAAGGATAAATACCACTCCTCTATAAGACAATCAAATTGCACAATTTTAATCAACCATATTATAAACCAAGCAACAGTCTTTATTGTGGAGTGATTACATAATATAAGAAAGATAACACAATTAATTTTTATCTCCATAATAGAAAGATAACACAATTAATTTTTATCTCCATAGAACTCCTAAACCATGCCTCCTCAAGACTGATGGAATAAATCTGCAGAAAGAAACATCTGAAAATTTGGATCTTATCCAAGACAGTGAAGATGAAGACGAGATATCTATTATACAGACATATGACCATAAAGAAACAAATTTAGCATCCAAAAACTCTACAGAGACTTCCAGAAACACACACAGTGCTCCTTATTATAATATGGACCTACCAAGTGAACGTAATGTTAGAGATCCAAAGAAGACTATAGAAATAGCTGATGCTACAACAGTACCATTGAATGGACTTGCTAATGATATGTTGAGAAGTAGAAATGCACTCACTAATATAGAGCATCCGCAAGTTTTCATTGAYGATGGTAATGAGCTTGGC